ATGGATGGATGGATGGATGGATGGATGGATGGATGGATGGATGCATGGATGGATGGATGGATGGATGGATGGATGGATGGATGGATGGATGGATGGATGGATGGATGGATGGATGGATGGATGTTTGTGTTCATGGTTTCCACATATTTTTACAACATTTTTAGTCAAATGCAAAGTTTAAATAAGCTAAAGCTCATCGTATCTCAGCAGTAATTATTTACATGTTGAACGATAAGTTCATTGTGAAAACACATTACAGTACAAAGTCTGTTAGGCTGTTTTGAATATAAATGTGATAAATCAATATCAGTCCAGCAGGGGAACATGGCTAAATGGACCTCCTAATCGCACATCACTGACTATGGATCAGCTTTAATCATCAAAACACAAATAAACAGAGTGCCTGCCTGCCGCTAAATGGTGACTCCCTGGAGGACCACTGAGGTACACAGATATTTTCTTGCTGGGACTGAAGCAACCAGCTGTGGTTTGTCAGCTGTACAGTCTTCCAGCTGCTGCGAACAACATGCTGACTGCTGAGTGCAGCAGACTCCTCTGGTGCCAGAAGAGTAAGTGCGGGAGACAGACATCCCCAAATAACACATCACCTTAAAAAGACAGATTCATATGGGAAGCAACTGTTAGCTGATCAGATCTCTTCCTCATACTCTGCTTCTCTGACTGTATTTATGTCGTTTTCTGTCTGTATGTTTCCCCCTTTTCCTGCCTCTCGCTGACAGACTGAAGGGCATCAAATATGCAGCACATGTATCTGAGTCAATCAGCCGACAGCAGCCCTGCAGTCTACCTCTCCCCTTGGTAGCTGGAGCGAGACACCGGGGAGGAGGGATTCCTGTGTAGTAGACACACAAACCTCATCAGCCACTTATCCGCCGCTTAGCAAAGCTAGCAGGAGATGGTCCATGTGTGCAGGGCTTTGATTTTAAAGCTTTAATCAGCGGCAGTGTCAGGATCTTTGTGTTACCTCTGGCTATTGGAATAAATGACCACATCTGCAGCGCTAACTAGGACTGACGTGTGCGTTAATGGGGCTAATATTTTCAAAATAAAAGGGTTCCCAGGCAACATTTATTCTGGTAATATAAGGAACATATCGGGTGGCACGGTGGCGTGAATGGTAGAGCTGTTGCCTCTCAGTCACCAGTTCAAATCCCAGTCTAGGGACCTTTCTGGGTGGAGTTTGCATGTTCTCTCTGTGCATGCGTGGGTTTTCTCCAGGTACTCCAGTTTCCTCCCACAGACCAAAAACATGCATGTTAGGCTAACTGGTAACTCTAAATTGTCCCTACGTGTGAGTGAGAAAGTGAATGGTTGTTTGTCTCTATGTGTCCATGTGATGGACTGGAGACCTGTCCAGGGTGTCCCCCGCCTCTCGCACAGTGACTCCTGGACATGGGCACCAGTGACCCCCACGACCCATAAAGGAAGAAGCGTGTACAGTAAAAGAAAATGGATGGATATCTGGTGTATTTCACTTATCACCCAC